AATGCTTGTTGTTTAATGCAGTGCATGAAAAGGCAAGACATTTACAGTGAAAGATCTGATGTTCTAAAGCCTTTTTTTAATCTTTAGTGCATCACAGTTATAAGGGTTACCTGGTGTAAAAATTGAACCCTGGTTCCTGACATGATTACAGCTGGCTATAACAATTTGTCTTAAAGTTCCTAGTACAAAAATAACAAACTCTGATTCTGAAGAATAGCCTTATGGATACGGTGCACTGCTTAGAATTTTATGTAGTAGGGTTGATTCATAATTGTTTGGTGTCCATCATGCAAATGAGTGGGTCCCTACCAAATTCATGGTCTGTTACAAGATTTTAAAAATCATAAATTTCATGATTTCAGCTATTTAAATCTGAAATTTCACAGTGTTGTAATTGTAGGGGGCCTGACCCAAAAAGGAGTTGTGCAGGGGTTGCAAGTTTATTGTGGAGTGGGGGTGGGGAGGTTCCAGTACTGCTACCCTTCTGCGCTGCTGCTGGTTGCTCCGCCTTCAGAGCTGGGCAGCTGTAGACCGGTGGCTGTTGACTGGGAGCCCATCTCTGAAGACCAGGAGCACTGTCGAACTAAGGATGCCATGATATGGTATCTATTGTCACCCTTCTACACTGCTGCCTGCAGAGCTGAGCCCTCAGTTGGCAGCTGCTGCTCTCCAGGTACCATGCTCTAAAGGCAGTGCAGAAGTAAGGGTGGCAATACCATGACCCACCTAAAATAACCTTGTGATCCCCTTGTAACTCCCTTTTCGGTCAGGACCCCCAATTTGAGAAACACTGGTCTCCCCTGTGAAATCTATATAGTATAGGGTAAAAGCACACAAGACCAGATTTCACGGTCCATGACGCATTTTTAATAGCTGTGAATTTCGCAGGACCCTACAAATGAGTTATTGTAGAACCCTCTAAACTTCAAAAATAGAGTAAAAATAGCCAGCATTTAAATTGTAAACAATGTTTTCCATGTTTTTCTCTCAACTACTAAAGAGTCATCTTCCCATTTCAGTTTGATTAAATACTTTTGGGAAGCAAGTCATGCATTTGCCTATGACCTTTTAGAAAAATTGTAGTTTTGTTAAAATACTGTACCTATGCTAATCTAATTTTGCATTTACTATGTTTTAGTGTATTTATAAATGGTGAACTCAGTTTCTGAAATTAAACATTTTATTTGCAATTTCTAGTGCTATTGAACACTGCCTTTTTCGTTTCAGATGGAAGTAGAAAAACTGTTTAATGTGAGAATGAAACTGATTGATTAAAATACATACAGAAACATATATTTTAGCACAGACCATTATATGGAAGGGAGATTAATTGGTATATTTAGCCTTTGAAATCCAGAGAGCTATCTTCTGTAGCCCTTACGTTGAGTAGCGTCTTACTGCAAGTACTTCCATTGATTTCAGTATGCCTACTTGACCTAAGTAAAGGTTGCTGAGATGTTCTCCCAGTGGTTTAATAGTTACTACATGACACTTCCCAAAACATTTTGAAAATAGGCTGTTAATGGAACAATTAAAACTAAATTCTGTTCTCAACTATATGCACAATAACACCACTGAAATATATGGGAATTGTACTTGGCCTGAGACCAGAATTTGTTCTAACCCAGTGCTTTCCCATCTGGGTCTGTTTCTTGTGCCTTCTGCATTTAAGTCTAGGTGGCTTCCTCCTCTACATTGCCTGGGCATCAGCACAGTGGGTCAGTGAGAACATGCAAAAGACTGGGTCTCTGCTCAGTTCTAGTCTGCAACTTCACTCAGGCTGGGAACAAGTCCTGCTGAACTGTTATACCCCTGGGCTGAAGCATGCTCAGTCACTCTGAGAATGATGCATGCGCAGTCTGGTCAGCACTAGAAGCTGTGAAAGACTTGAGTATGCTCGGAGTGGACAGAATCTTCAAAGATTTTTAGCTGCTAAACACTTACAAGTCTGAGCCTATCTGACCAGTAACTTTTCAAAGACATAACTTGACCAAATTTGGGTGGATTTTCAAAGGGATGGCAAAAATCCCTGCTGTGAAATCCAGCTCCTACCAAATTTCAAGTCCTTACTGTGAAGCAAAAAAGACTGCCAGAATTTTTTAGCATAGGTAAAACGTATTTTTCCTTAGTCTCTTTCTTGGAAAAGGCTGAACTTTATTTTGGAAAGTTTTTTCAGTCAGAGGCAGAAACCCAGCATGAAAATTTCAGCCCAACTGGTTAAAGTTTGGCAAAGTAATAAGCAACAGAAAACCACTGTATAATGGAACATGTCAAGCAGTGCTACCAGCTCCACTTATAATAAAAGATTTGAAATTAAAATTTAGGGTACTCAGATTTGATCACTTCATTGTAATTTTATATTAACAAATGTAATGCAATTCAACTATTACACACTGGTGCCACATTAAAAGGATTGGAGCTGGTAGCTCCACTTATAATAAAAGATTCTCTTGTACATTAAAAGGATCAACACCTACCACTGTAGAGGGGGGGAAACAAATCTCAGGGTGAAACTACTATATTCCTTAGAAAAAACAATTTAGTGTAACTTCTAAGGTTAGGATTCTCATTAATGATGCTTTTATTCCTGCCTCCCCCGCCCTTTCAACCAGTCACAGTGGCAAACTGCATTGAAGACAAAGCTGCGACCAGTTGTGTAATCCACTAACAGTGAAAGCTGCGGTCAAACAGTCTTGCTTATATTGATATCATGCTGGTTTGTGGTTTTGTTTTCTTATTGCAGTTTGAAGAATTAAACTCATTTATGTAGAGGGAATCTAAGCATTCAGAACTACAAGTAAAAAAGCATGTGGGGGTGGTCGTCTTCTAGTGTTTATAAGTGTGTGGTGTGAAGAGCACTCCTAAATTTGGGGGGAAAGTAGGGTAAAGGTAGCTAACAGTGAGGATTCTCTTGTACAGGCCTCCTGGCTCTGCAGCAGAGGCATCCTCTCCTGAAGCCAATCTGATAGTTTAAAAAAATGGAAATTTCATTCACAAAAGAAGACAATGAAGATAAGGTTGCAGCATTGATGGGTAAGCTGGGTGTATATTTTTCCAAACGATCATCTCTGGCAAGATTTCACTGCATGGGATTTATGTTCTCTCGTAAACAGAGAGAATATTTTGAAAGAAGACATGGTCTGGTGTTCTTTAGAAGTTAAAATGTTCTGGAAGCATTATGTATTAATTAACAATGATACCTAAAAGTTCAGATTTTACAGAAACTAACCATCACAGTTAACTTTTGAAAGACAACTTTCAGTGTAAAAAAAATTTGCAAAAAACCCACAAGGTTTGTGCCTATAAGTGTATGGCTGATTCATACATCAAGAAAGCAACACAATGGTGCTATTTCTCCTCTGAGTATATTTCTAAACTTAAGCCTATGTCAGAGGGCTTCTTAAAAGTTTTTATCAAAACCAGCCAACCAAAAAACAAATAAACCAAACCTGATATGTAGCCATTCACAAAAGTTGGAAAATAGTTCATAAATCAAGACAGCAATGGCTGAGTGCACCACCTATTTACTGACTTCTCACTTAAAGCTATCCAAAGGACCAAAGACTTAAGCCCAACTAAATAAATAGTGCAATACTTCCTACTTCAATCTGAAAATATATAGTTGCTTCTCTACAGTGGTAGTTAGGGTAATTATTTGTTTCAGTGGCATGTTGTGGTACTGCACCCTTAATCTTTACTTCATTAAAACTTTTTATTTTTGGGGGAGGGGGAGAATATACTGAAGTCAAGAGTTTTTTGCAAACTAGGAATTAGATTATTTTGTTTAACAATACACCAGAAAACAGGTGATTCTCTTCTAAATGCTGGTGCCTTTGAAGCTGTGTTGCAAAACTTTTAAGACCAAAAAAATCTGAACTTTGAGATCTGGAAAGATGAACTCACTCAAAACTTTCCTTTGTGTTTTGTAAATGTACATGCTTGCATACTTACTCTTTTCAATACCTCTTATGATATTTGATGTTTAGGATTGCTCTGGAGGGAATTAGATAAGTTTTTTTTCCCACAGGGAAAATCAAATAGATGGCACTTCACCAATGGCAATTTCAGGGGAGGCCAAAGACTGGTTTAACAGGTTTTGCAGAATCAGCCTTGCAAGAGTACTGCGGGAGAAAGCCTCAACTGCCACAATGGAGCAGGCTCCACCCAATATTATCAGTTCCTCCCATGCATGAGCACTGAATCTTACGGGGGGGGGGCTTCAAAAGAAAACAAAATCCTAGAGTTGTAAACATGCACTTCCATGAATAGGAAGGTGAGCACCTGCTGCTTTTTCAGTGGGGAAACTTTTTGCTCAGTACAATATTTTACGTCTTGAATTTTCAGACAATAAGGAAGACTTACATATTCGATTGCTAAACTCCATCACATTTATACTTGTCACTGGCATTGAATTTTCATATGCTGCTGGACCTCTCACCACACCAGATCTAGTATGGTTAAGAAAACAAGATGTCACAAGATTTAAATTGATACACTACATCCCTTGTTTATTTGAGTAGACTGTGCAGGTTTACTTAGCAGGAATTACTGGTGAGAGGTGATGGATTCCCAAGGGTGGATTCGCAGTGCTGATTTTGATCATGTATCTGTGTGAAAGCTTATAGTCTAAACTGCGTGAAAGCTGAGTGAATCAGTCTCAAAGTATGATCTCTAAACACAAGGGCATATCACCAAACCTATAAGATACAGTACATTTGTCTCCTAAATATGTTCTAGCCCTATCCCTTTGCAAAGTCTTCCAGGACAACTTAACTCCCTGAAATTTATAGAAATGAATGTTTTTATAGGTACATGTCTTTGTTACATGTCAAGATAATTTGGTTGTGGAGGAAGGATTATTGAACAAAAGCCTAAATATTTTTCTCTGAAATCTAAATTGTCCTTTCTCCATGTTCAATATAAAAATGTGATGAACCCTCTTCTAATTCCCAACTCTGTCTCAAGGTGGTGCTTGCCAAAAAGTACAATTGTGCTTCAAATGGGTTCTTGTAACTTTAATTATTTAACAGCTTACAAAGCACAATTATATATAGTGACAAAGCTACAATGAATGTGGCTTTGCTATGATACAAAATGAGATTATTAAAGTTTCACATAGCAATTTAGTGGGGAAAAAAAATCACAATTTATACAGTAGAACCAGCAAGCAGTACATCTGTAATGCCCAAGGATTAAATACCACAGAATAGCATACGCCTGCTCCATTATATTTTTCATACCAGGCATTTAAAGACATGTATATATTGCATTGGTAAACAGGCCAAAAAAAATCAAATTATTTAATAATGCTGACCTTGAAAATGTTTCAAAGAAGATACATACAATATACAGTTCAATCATGATGTGGATTGGATTTACATAACATTAGAAAGCTTTCTGTAATTTATGTAAGAAACAGCTGTATAGGTAAATAAGTTAATCAGTACAAAGATTGTATTTTTTCCATAGCTGCTGAATTGCATTGTTAGGCAAATTGCAATTATTTTGGAGATTATCAAGTCATCAGTGAAGTTATGTCAGAAAACTTCCTTATGGTCAAGAAGAGCGAGTAAGCTTTTCCAACAGTATTAATTTTGTTTTTAAGCTTAAAGTAAAAGGAGGTAGTGTGGTAAGGTTCAACCCAATTCTGTCGATGCCTGATATATGTGCAAGTGGCCGATGGGTCATCTTGTAACGAGATACTTGAATGGGATCCATTTCCATTAGAATGTGTGTATAAGACAACATCATCTGGTCCCCAGGTTTAACATCTTCCCTTTTGTCATACCTGTAAGGAGTATGCAGTGGATTTATTTGCATTCTTTTCAGAACATACTAAACTTCTGCTAGTTATCTGCACAGACATGTACTATCAAAAACAACATAAAAGGAATAAAAAGATTCTCAGTCTAATTCTCATCATACTTCATTATGTGAGCCACAGAAACAAGTGCTGTTCAAAGGAAGTCAAACATTGCATTAGCAACTCTTCCTGCTGCTACTTTGGTAGTCCATAGAGATCTGTGAGCTGCTCATAGCATATTTCCTCTCTGCCCCTCTATTTGAAAGCTGTGGAGAAAAGATTTACTGTGAGGCCTGTGATTTGCAGGGGAGGGGGAGTGGACTGGCTTTCATTAGGATCTGATTATGTGGGTTTGACTTATTAGGCTGCAGAAGGGGCAGTCCCCCATTGCTGGCAGGCAGTTGCAGTGGGGGTCCAACATCATGATGGTGCTGAGTCATCATCTCTTCTCCCCCCACCGATAAAACAAGTAGGATTTCCTACTGGTTAGGGCTCTAGTGTAGAACTTGGGAGTCCCTGGGTTCCATTCCCTGCTCTGCCACAGGCTTCCTGTGTGACCGTGGGACCGGAGTTACAAAGGTACTTAGGTGCCTGAAGATGCAGATCAGTACTTGGCATGGTTTATAGAAATGCCTATGCATGCAAAATGCCTAACCTGCCAAGATACTTCTGTAAATTACACTAGGGCCCAGATCTTCAAAGACATTTAGATACCTAACTCTCAGTGAAATCAACAGGAGTTAGGCAGTATGTAGGCACCTATCTGCATCTTTAGACACCTAAATACCTTTGGCCATCTGGCCACTTGTTGCTTCGTCCCTCAGTTCCCCATCTGTAAAACAGAGATGACAGCCCAACTGCACAGGGCTATTGGGAAGATAAATACATTAAAGGGGGATAGATAGAAACATAGCATGCCCATGAAAATATAATAGCTCTAAGGGAATGCTATTTTCTTAAGTAAATGAGTCAGGTTAAATCATAGCCTTCATGAGACTGTGTACCATGTTGCATTAGGTTTCACGTAGTGGGAAGATAAGAAATATTTATATTTTCACATTATATGTGTATATTTTCCATTGTACATAAATGATTCATAAAGATAAATCCTTTTAGCTAATTTCTAAAGTTATGTTTAAGTTATCAATTTGCTTCCCTTCTGTAATTAGAGTTCCCATTTCTATACCTTGCAACAATGGGGCAAGGAAGACGGAATGAAGAAACTTCCTTACGTGTCAACTTGTACGTCCACCAATCCTTCACATCTAAGCAATTTCTTCCCTGGTGGGATCCGAAGGTTACTCTAAAGTTGCCAGCAAGAGGAAGGGCCTTAATTCCAGAACAAAAGCTTCCAAAACTCTTTAACACTAAAACTCAGCTCTGATCAATCTAAGTTAGTTTTGACATGAAATAACCAGCCTCATCTTTGCTGAGGCTGAATCAAATTAATGAACATTGAGCTGATAAAAACTGACAGGAAATACATTTGTCCTCCAGCAACTGCTTGTCCCTCAGTATTCACCTCTGAGATGCAACTCACAGTGATGGAGAAGTCAAGAGGGGCAAGGATAACAAAAGTTAATAGAAACAGAACCTTCATTCCAGCAAAATCCCATTAAGAACACTAATTTCAAAGATGGTGCCACAGCATGAAGCACATTCCGCAGAATCCCAAGAAGCCTGTAAATATACTGTGTAATGGTACACTAATGTATGCAAACTACATATTTATCGTCTCTCCTAAGAAACCACCTTTTCGGGACTAAGCAGTTTAAGGACTATCAGATCCAGCTACCATTTGAGATGGCACATCTGGTCAGGCTGGTGGAGAGAACATGACATCTGGCCAACAGCCTTGCCAGTTCCAATCCCATAGTCTCTCTCTGGGCTAGTAAAGGAGCTATCATTAGGATGCAAGCTTTCCTGAATATTATTACAGTATTTTAAAATAATACCTTATGCTCATACAGCACCTTTCATCCTGTTTCAAAGAGTTCATGCTAATGGAGGAAAGGCAAACAAGATTATAGACCCATCCAGTTTTAGAATCTACATAAAGTTTCTTTCAGTCGCTCTTTGAAGGCAGATAATGGAATTCCTGCATTTGTCTTGGGGCAAATAGAATATCTGGGCATGCCACTTCAAAACACTTCTAGTTATACACTGCAGTTATCCTGATGAATCATCAGTCTGCTTAGCCACTCCATCCATAAATCTGATTATCCCTTTATGTGTACAGTCTGTGAAGACAGCAAATTATTTTCTACCCATCTGCAGGGCTCTTGCTTCCTCATTCCAGAGGGAAGGTCTGGTACTACCCTGATTCTTTGCATTATTGTGCTGTGTGATGAGAACCTGGTGCCTGTGTGTATGATCGTCAGCTGCTGTTTATCCCTGACCTCTCTTATGTTGATCCTTATGATGAATCAGCCTTTCCTTGATGCACCTTTCTGATGAGCAAAGATAACAGTGAGTGACAAACTGCCCCTCCATATCAGGCTGCAAGACCACGGAACATCTGTCAGAGTGACAAAATGCTATTACTTTCTTTTTTCCATCACATTACGGCCTCACATTCTATGCTGCACCACCAATGGGAAGCAAAAACTGGTTAAAAGCCATCAAAATTAGGCATCATATACAGAAAATGTAAAATAGTCCAAAGTACGTTCAGTAAAGTAGCTTGCTGAATAAACAAGAATTGGGGCACTCTAGCTACCATATCTGTCTTACCACATGGGGGACGACGACATTGTACAATTATTTCTGACAGTTCATGATTTAGAGCTTCCTCCAGATTCCAACATGTGAAGAGTAGTCTGACATGAGAGTTGAACAGTTGTGAGGAAATGTCCCCACTAACACATTCAGTATTGTAATTAGATTGAGAAAAAGTAGCAACAATAAGTGGTGCCAAACTGGCTAACTTCTGCACTCCTGACAAAAGCTAATTGGTTCTTCCTTCTCATTTTCCCTCCTCCCTGACTCCAAAAGAACTCCATGAGTTCTCAGATCACCTCAAGAACTAAATTACAACTCCCGCAGCCCCCATTAGCCTGGAACGGTGAACCGCGGCCAGTGGGAGCTGCGATCAGCTGAACCTGCGGACGCTGCAGGTAAACAAAGCATCCCGACCTGCCAGCGGATTTCCCTATGGGCTGCGTGCCAAAGGTTGCCGATCCCTACTCTATATGGTGGAAGGGATATTCCACATAACTAAGGCTATATTTGAACATGCAAATACCGGAACATTTTGTCACATTTTTTCAATTTAAGATATTTGCCACTGTTCTTAAAAATTAGGATACACTCTACTGTCATCAGTTGAAAAGTGATGGACTACTACAATGTGTTTTGAAAGATCCAGTGAAGTAAAAATGGATTTTGAGGGTTATCCAGGACACATTTTTATCCAGTCACAACAAAGGTAGTTGAGTTTAATAAGCTAAGAGATTTTTTGATTTTCCCTCTTGTGTCTTTAAATTATCTCTGGTACTTAAACAATAAATGGGCCAAGAAAAACAGAAAACAAAAAGCTTCATGGACGTTCCATGTTTGGTAGAGAATTCTTACAGACTTCACCAAAATTCCCTGAAGATTTGATTGCCCCTGATCATGACTTAACACACACACTGTGTAAGAATCAGTGTCCATCCGGTTTGCCAGCATGCATGCACACAAGAGGGAAAAACAATGTTTACTGTCTTGACAAAAACCACTTGCTCATGGCATACCTCCAATTCGAGTTGACTTCCAAAAATCGAGAAACTCCAGTCTGTGCAGCAGCCACATCAATATGGACAGAGACATCTACAACAAAAACAATACTATTTCAAAATGCTTGTAACTACAGTACACCTGTAAGTGAAGAATAAGCTATGTAACCATAAAGATACGTGTAAATATTCCAAAATAAACAATATCTAATGTATTTATGAGAAATGTACAGCAAAGAATCCTCAAAACTGAAGTTAGATGAACACTACTTAACATTCAAACCAACTTTACATACCTGCTGTTGAAGGCACCAACTCATGTAATTTCTGTATTGCAACTCCTCCAGGGTAGTTGAAATGTGAAACATATAACGATGTTCCTGAATAAGCAGCATTAATTAGGAGATGTGTCATAACCAACAGCGATCCGAGTTTATATAGCCAGGATTTTTTGTAGTTATGCAAACTGTTAAGGGGTAAAAAAACCAGAATGAAAATTCGCTGTTAATCTTGCCTTTACATTCTGTAAGTAGTTATTGGGGCAGAACATTTTAAAAATAAAAGGTTTCACTGTTGGACAAAAGCAAGAGTGAGGATGACTGCAAGTTCTATTATATTAACTAAAAAATTATAACACTGTATTTCTTTCCCTTAATTCTAAAGGAATTATTTTGAATGACAAATTAATAGTTACAATTACAACAAATAATAAAATATTCATAATATAACACTTTAACACTTCCGTGTTTTTAACCTTTAGCTATAGAAATAAACATACAATTCTCAAAAGCACTTTGGAATTTCACTTTAATTTGTTTATTTAAACAACTAATTTCAGTTCTTTACGATAAACATTATAGTTAAATGTACCTAATTAATTAGCACTAAGGAGTTTCCTGAGTAAAGTAATAAACAGTACAGCTATTCACTGGAATGTGCCCCTTTCTCTTGTGGGTGAAATTAACTGAATTATACCACTACGCTGGGGTACAACTTGCTGCAGATGTCTACTTATAACTTTCATTAATTGGAGTCACACATTCATCAAGGAGAACAAAAACCTGTATTTATACAGCATATACAATAAGATTTCTAATAAATCATTTTAATGATAGTCAGACAATAGCGATCCCACTTTATTTATAGTGTTGTAACAGTTCTGGCCTTAACTGATGACTTATTTAATAAATAAACTTTTAACTATCTGGTTATAAGGCTAGGACTATGGGCCAAATTCTGGAACTGTAACAAACCTTTCCCAAACAGGTGCACATATGTATTGCAAAGAGAGTGCTAAACCAGTGGCTCTCAAACTTTTTTCATTTGCGGACCCCTACAAATTTTCGAATGGAGGTGCAGAACCCTTTGGAAATTTTGAATGGAGGTGCGGACACGTATAGAGATCTATTGCCTGTATATATAGTTGAATTCTGTTCCATCAGTTTTCAGTCCAAGTCTTTTGCGGACCCCTTAAACATAGTCCGCAGACCCCCAGGGGTCCACGGACAGCAGGTTGAGAACCATTGTGCTAAACTACTTCCACTGGCAGCAGGCAACCCAAAGCACAGCCCTGCCCCCCACCTTACTCCTGCTGGGTGCCCAAATAACATGTTCCTGGGGCATTGCTAGGTTAGAAGAAGCATGCTCATAAAAGAGTGGCCCATGCCCCATAGTCCAATCCTCGTGCACCCCACTGTGACTCTTGCTATGGAGAACCTTCAGAGCTTTGTGCTGAGCTAGTATAGGGCAGCCAACTTCCAACCTGTGCTGCCACTGCTGGCCACAGCAGTTCAGGTACAGAATCTGGCTCAATCACCACCCTGCGTACGTGCACTCCTTTGGCTAGCACATTACATTTAATCTCTCTTTCTCCTCTGAGCGATAAAAGAACTGACCAGCATCTTGTAAGCTACTAACAAGTTTGAACTGAGAATAATCTTTTCAAGACGCATTACTCTGAACTTACATTCGTGTGCAACCTTTGGCAGCCACTATGTTGAAGACGGGGAAAGTGTATATGATAAACCGCAGCTCTTTATGTGGGAGAAAAGAATACAAAAAAATAAAACCCAGCGTTGGTAGAATTAATACCCGAGTCCTTTTGTCTGCTGCACCTAGAGGCACAAATATAATGCTGCATCCCAAAGCACGAGGCAGGGCTGAATAGAAATACCACAAGAAAGGAGAAGTCTTTAAGATGAAAAGGGAGTTAAGGATGTTATTATTATCAGCAAATGTTTGGGTTAAAGTAACTTTATCCTTTCAGATGTTCTGCAAAACTTTTTTAAGTATGCAATAAATTTATTTAGTTTACAGCTATCACATTGTTCCAAATTACTCATATATTGAACTTCTAAATAAGACAGTTTAGTCATTTCTGAAGATTTTGTTTTCTTCACTTAAGTTTTGCAGTCATCTACAGAGCTGGTTGAAAAATAGGAAAAAAAAGGGTAATGAAAAATGTTGTAGAAACGTTTTTTTCCCAAAATGTTGAGGAACTTGATTTTTTTTTTACCAGCTTCCATGTAAAGAAATAAGTAAATGAAGGCATGTTTCAGTGGTCCATTAATATATCCTTGGAAATGCTATGGGCCTTCACTCCCCTCAAGCATTCAGGTATCAAGACAATGAACATGGTACAAAAACCTATAAAGCAGCATATAGGCATATATTAATGAACCACTATGCACAAATACACAGCTAAATGCAATTACAACGGGGATCCTGAATTTAAAGTCTTTTTTTAAGGATTATAAGAAAAATAAGAGAAGAAAGGAAGGGTACTGGGAAAAACATTAATTTGGTAATTTGAAAACATCTTTTTTCTTTTTTTTAAAGTTTCCTGGACTTTACAGCTTCCCTTCTCCCTCACCCTTTGTGCTCAGCTGCCCTTGCAATTGCAGTCAGTGATCCACTGGTCTTTTCCCACTCTCTTCCTATTGCAAACACTATGCTGGGAATGTTAAACAGTTAGACAAAGAGAATTAAGAAGTGGGTAGCAAGTCAAACTGTTGCCGAAAAAGGGAGCTGGATTCAAGGGGACAGAGAGATAAAATGCACTCTCATGAAAAGCCCTCTTCTCTTTTCAAGGTTACAGGCAATGAGGTAAGAGAGGAGGAGTCAAGGGGTGATTTTGAAATCGGGCCCTTAGCAGTAAATACAAAAAGGAAAGGGCAAATTGTAGAGGTTTTGTAAAGGAATAACTGCCAGGGGTGGTGGTGAGTTGAATATAGCACCAAGGCTGTGACTACATAGGAAAAGTTGAACCCTTAAAATATATATACATCCAGGTTGTTCCACTGGTGCCACCAGCAGCAGAAGCTACAGCGTAGATGGGATTCAGACATTTTTGCAACTGGATCATCTAACCCTACTCTTAGCCACTGCCTGTATTACAGCTGCAACCGCTGTTGCCACCACTGCACTAATGGGGAACGATGAATTCTGTTTTTGCCAGTGTAGATGCAGCACCAAGGCCCTGGTGATAGGGACGACAGTGGAATTCACAACCAAGAGGGAGAGAAGAGTGAACGATAAGGCAGTGAAGAGACTGAAGGACAATGCAGGACTGCACAAGGAGCTTGATCCTGTGCCCCTGGAAGTCAATGGAAAAGTTTCCTTTGACTTTAATGGGGCAGGAGCAGGCACCAAGAGGAGGACAGGAGAGAGGTATGTCTTGGAACTGGACCCCACAAGGTAAATTTCAACTGAATTCTGTCATTGATGCCAAACATTTCAATCATGTCACAGCTGAGTCCCATGAATAAATCAGTACAAATATTTGGCTTAGCTGACATAAGGCCATGTCCTTATTTTCCTATATATATTTAAAGGATACTCCCCAGTTTGAACTTTTATTTAAAACTGTATTATACCAAAGCACTTTCCCCTCCGGCCATAGAAGCTGCCTCCAAAATACGGAGTCCACAGCAACTGTTAGTCCTAGAAGAAAAAAAAAATATCTAAGACTGAGGAGCTTATCCAAGCTGAACATTTGCCTAAGAGATGAACATAGACTGGGACACCCTATGAGCCTGATCTAATGCCAGTTAAACCAATGGGAGCCAGATCATGCTCTGGGTCTTGTGCTGACATAGGAATGTGACAGGTAATTGCACAGTTTGCATTTCATTGTAGAAATCACAGGCACTATTAGAGAGAGACTCATACTGTGGTCTTGCTCTATGTCCAGTGTGAACAATAGTCTGGACTGTTGATCAGGAAGGATGTGAAGCAGGGAGTGGCTTCTCTCTGTTAGCATCCTCCACCTCACAGTGCCGGAGTAAGTGAATGCTGATGTGCTCAGAATTATCTTCCACTGCTTCTCTTCTCAATGTTGTAACACCCTCCCCCCTGCCCATAAATAGCAAATGTATTGATGCAACCACCATCAGGCAGACTCTGAGAGCATGCTTTTTAAGAGAGTCATGTTGTCCATGAGGAGGCTCAGTGGGTCTACATATGCACCAGGCCTCCACAGATGGCTTGAGACCCAGGCGATTTCACAGTTTTTCTGCAGTGACCAACACCTAATCTATTAAAGTTAAAGAAATGAAATAATAAAAGATGGGAACATAGCATGTACCAGGCAACTCAAGTATCCCTAGAACCTGATTTGTGTAAACCTCCCTCCTTCCATCTTCCTCAATATCATCTTGTGTCACATCACATTACATCTCATTCCCGGTCTGAGTTTGCTACTCAGGGTGCAGATCTCAGGCCATTTGATGGTAATAATGGCCAACCCCCCTGAACGTTGGGAGTGGGAAACTCCATCTCATCTTACCATAATAGTGCACTCTAGGAAACGTTGCAAGTTGAAACATGCAGCATTTTCCGGCCCCTATACAAGTTCTTTCTGTGTAGAAGACAATATGGTCCTAAGGTTTTTGCTAAATATCCTGCATTTCTCCCAGAGTAAAATTTCACCAGTTTAATGAATACATTAGCTTTCTTGTGGTGAAAACAGAGGAAATTTATTCTTAATTTTCACTTTTTATTGAGTAAGTTTTACTGCAGGCATATTTTTAAATAAAAGAAGACCTTAGAAAAAAGAGGAAATAGTAGATATTAAATTCAATGAAAAAAAGGAGCACTTACCCAACCAAACAATGCCAGCAGCAACAGCATGGGAAAGCATCTTTAAAATGGGGATTCTTTTACTTAATAATGTCACCAGAAGCATGAGGCCCAAGAAGATACAGAGCTCTGATCTGAAGACAATAATTGCCAGTGCTGAGAACCAAATAAATGGTCCGTGCTTTTGCTGTATCCAAGATGTAAGTGCCAAGAGAACTGTAAAAAGATATAAAAACACTGTATTAACCACCGGACATCTTTAAGGTTTTTTTTAATTCAAGTATCTCCTCTATTTTGGGCCCTATTCAGTATTCCTACTGCAGCAAAGCTTTGCCAGAGAAAGGTATGCAGAATAGGGCCCTTTGTAAAGTACTCTAGTTTGATGCCCTAGCTAACTAGGAACAGGTGTATCACAAAGGAAAGAGTCTGGAATCCCTCCCCCGGGAGTATATTTAATGAGTGACATGAACAACTCTACTTGTGACAGGGTACTGAAAGCTTTTCTGAATCTAAGTGGTATAGTTATTACTATTATAATTTATTCTGTGACAGCCAGTGTGCTTGTTATTCTCATGACCTGTGTGTACCTTGCATTAATGCTAATGGCACTCAGATCCAAGCATCAAGAAGAAAATGTACCCTGCGTCTCCTAAGAACAAAGAAATATGAACACATTTGGGTGGCTAGTTGCACATGTGTCACATCTCTATATACTATGGGTTCTCTACTTTTTTTCATAGTGTTGGCCACATCCTAACAAAGATCATATTGAGCACCAGTCGCGATCACAAAGCATCCATGTGGAAATTACAGCAATTGCTTATATGAAAGAGTAATAGTAGAAAAGTATTTGAGTAGTCTCAATACCTTGTACAGTGCTTTGAAAAGGTTATCGCTGTGCAACAGTCACTTGATGATTCAATGTGTTTTTATTCTGTTCTATATAGGTTCTTATACTGCCCTCATCTGAGTACCTTCCAGTAGTGCATTAAGGGACACAACTAATATCTGCCACATGTGACTGTTGTTTCTCCCATCCTCTCTCCAGGGGGAGAACTGTGTGTGCAGTGGAATCTTCTGGTTTGGGGGATTTTTTATTTTTCAGATGCGTTTAGATCAGGTCAAAGAAGAGCATATTGCACTTAGAGAGGGAGGTGGTGAGGTTTCTGATGGTCCTTATTTCGGAAGGGAGTTCATTGCATAGTCTCAGACTGTCCTCTGAGGTAGCTCTGTCTCCTGCACAGACTAGCTTTACCTTTACTACAGATTTTTAAATCGCAAGAATGTCCAGAGGCTGTGCAATGGCCACGTGTTTTATAAATAAAATAAATGTAGTCAAATCTCTACTTAATCAAAGTCACACTACTAGGTAAACTCCCTATATATTCAGCTTTAATACAACTTCAGTTTAGCGAATTATTTTAACACATATGCTATAAAACATACAACCACAGTTCTCCAGACTCCTTGCCACACAGTCCAGCCATCAAGCATATATACATTAACTTGGTCTGACTACATTTATTTGTCCATGTGCACTCACTATCAATAACGTTAGAAATAATTTCAAAATGTATATGACATCCTCAAAATAAATGCTTACCAACAGGAAGTGCAAACATATTGGGAAGTGTTCGAGTGCAATAAAACATTAGATGAAACTGAGTAACAGTTATTAGACAGAAGATCGTCGATACAGTTGATCCAAACTGCTTTCTGACTTCTTTCTTTAACTTCCATAGTGCATAAATCACACTAAGCCCCAGACTTCCTCGGACTTTTGTGAAGAAAAAAAATTAAGATAAGAAAGCAATGTCAGGTTGCTTATTGATGTAGGCAACAACAAAGAGGAATGTTAAGAAATATTAAATTACTATTGCACAAATACAAAGAAAATATTAAGTAGTGCAATATTTAAAAGATGGGGTAAGGAGTGTATAAAGAAACAGGCAAATTATGTTACAATACAATATTTTAGATCAGACTTAAAAGAATAAAGTATCCAAGGTACTGTTTTCAGTGCAATCCATCCTTGTTTGGTTGTGACTCAGTATCGCAGGGGCTGAGTTCTCTGAATGATGTTACGTGGGGTGGTGTAGCAGGGTGGTCTGCCCCTTTAAGGGCCTGCGGAGCCAAGGAGCAGCAAGCCCTGGCCAAAGGAGAAGCCCAGAAGACAGGTGCTGAGAATGACCAAATCCAGCTAAGAAGCAGCCAATGATTGGCGCTGATTCCCAGCAGGAAGATATAAGTGAATAGCCAGCTCTGTCAGAGAAGGAGAGCCAGGAGAGACAAACACTTTCCTGGTCCCCAGCCCCCAGGGTGTGTGTGTGTATGTGTGTAGGCGTGGCTGACTGTTTTGTCCCCAAGCAGTTAGACAGACCCACCAGACTACCGGTAGATAATAGTATGTCTAAATAAAACACATTGTGTCCATAAAAACTTGGATGTGAATTCTGAATTCCCTTCCACCATCCCCTCAGTTTTCTGTTAGAACTCTGTTACTTTAGTATAACTTTCTTTGTGTTGGTTACCTGGTAAAAAAAGGATGGTGGAACTTTTAAGTTAGCATTAAGTTAAATAACTCAAGTCTTGCAAGTTCACTTGTAAAATAAACATACTACCATATTCTCCAGCATTGATCCAAAACACTATACCTTAGAACAGTGTTACAGACCAGTACTGCAGAATACATCACTATTCAAGATCTCCTTTCAGACCTGATTTAAAGTTCATACCTATCAGTTGTGAGTAAAACTTGGACATTTGCAAGCTAGACAGCACGAATATAGCTGGGCTGGAAAGCGCAGCAATAAAGACTGGTCCAAGAAACGTTCTTGGGACAACTCCAGGAAACTCATGATGGTCGTACTGCAAAGAAAAGAAAGGCTCAGTATGACAGGCAAGCTAGAAATAATGTCTAAGAACAGATGAATGTAGCAGAACTAGACAAATAATGCTCTTATGCTTCATGTTGCATTTGTGCTGGTCAAGAGAGAGATGGGTTATCTTGGACAGACCATAAATAATAATGTCCTCTTTCCTATTCACCTTCTCCAAGTCCAGTCTGTGGTACACAATGTCATGGATGGCTTGGAGGTTGAAGCTCTCCTCCACTTTTGTAAATGGACAGACAGTTAAATATGCAAAGGCCACAGCAATGATCAGCAACAGCAGGAGTGGTTGTCCACTTGAGCTCCTCTTCTCAGCCATGCTGGACATGAAATCCACATATCGTCTATTATCAGAGATCAAAACTGACAGAGGGGAAAAAATGAAATTATATTAACATCATGACAACGTGCCTACAAAGGGAAAAGGAGAGACTAATGCATTTTAATAAAATATGAAGGGAAAGACAATGCTACTGTACATGTAGCCTACTGCATGACTATCAGATCAAGTAATCAATCAGGTTTTCATATATACTAACAAAGTGAAGTATCTTGCCAAGAGCATACTCAGCCAGTGTTCCATGATTTGCACTGACTGCCTGAAGTTTAAGGTTTTGGCTTTACTCTATAAAGCCTTAATGTCTTATGCTTTACCATAAAAGACAACCTCTCTCCACATAGCATACTGCCACCACAAACATAAAAGAGAAGGAGCTGGTGGCACAGTGTTTTCTGTGCGGGTCCCATATCTTTGTAACTTGCCCCTCCCTGTGGTGTGAAATAGCCTGACTTTAATAATTGTATGCAGTGTTGTTGTAGCCATGTCGGTCCTAGGATATTAGAGAGACAAGGTGGGTGAGGTCATATCTTTTATTGGACCAACTTCTGTTGGTAACAGAGACCAGCTGATTTCTGAGGCAGTTTCTGTAAAAACAGTCTAGATGTTTACAAGAACAAACTTTGGGCAAAACAATATATTTTCCCCATGTTTAAAAAAAATTCTTAATGAAGCTCATCCTGGTGCCAGGAATGTGCCTTTTGCTGTTCCCATGAAAATCCACCCAAATTTACCAAGTTATGCAGCTCTAAAAATCATAATTCACCCATGCTCAGTAGGGAGATGTTAGAGGGTGATAGTTAAATTCTCTGCAAATTCTGTCGGCAGACATCATGTTCCTCCCCCCAAACACATCCTACGTGCTGGCTAGGCTGCATATGTTCCATCCCCACAGCGCAACTGAGGAACAGTGGCGTAGTGGAACTGGAATGCACCAGCATGGTGTTCTGGCTCAGTGCACCACCCCTTACAGAGTGGGGGCAGAGTTAGAGCAGCATGAGGCGGGGTTAAAGGATCAGGCTGGTGCGGAGACACGGCAGTTTAGGACTACACTGTTGGTGATGACACTCGGAATGTGAGTGCTGAGCACAACTTTCTTTGTAATTGCTCCCCCTGGTTGCCATGGGCCACTGTGGTACCATACACTGGAACTGTGAGCAAGGAGTCTCTCTATTATGTGCTCTCAATGCCCTCCCCCCCCACCCCAATAGCACCCAGGCAGTATAGAGAAGGAGGTAACTTAACTGGAATGTAGAAGGGTGAAGAGCAGAGGGGAGACCAACACACGAGCCAAAAGGAAGACTGGGACAGGGACCAGACAGAACGAAGGGCAGAAATAGAAGGGATCAGAGGTATAATGGTCTGTAACTACTAGAATATGTACACCTTGAGAACCTAAAGTTGATCCCAGGATTCTTGAGGCTCACCATTCCCCTGCTGTCAGCAAATACCTTTGAAACCCACTGGCAAAGTATGTGTCTCATCTACCTCTACTGTTTGGCCCATGGAGAGAATGACAACCTACTACCAATTACTGTGTTACCCCCAGAGTTCTGTACTGGAAAACTAAAGGTTCCAACACCGTTGATAATACATCCAGATGTCAGTTTGGTTTTACAAAAAGGAATTTTTTTCCATTTTTCTTGGTTTGTAACTTTTGGCACTGCCAAATATAAGCAACAATGCCAGTCCGAAGCCTGGGTAAAAAAGGAGGGTTCTGCAGTTAGGTTTGCTACCCATTCAGGTAAAACCTTAATGCAACTGAAACAATTCAGTCCAACAGAAATTTGAGTAAGTAGAGATGGAGGTCAAAACCCACGTATGAGAGTTATCAGTGAAAGCCAAAAGAAAGCTGAGATCTCAAGATATTGAATCCTGATAACCAAATCTGTAACCCGAATAGGCATGTATATACTTTATATAGTACAGGAAAGTTGGCACAGGTCACACAAGAAATGAAAAAGTACCATGTGAACACAGTGTCAGTGAGACAAGATGGCCAGGGAGTGGCAAGATAGTGTCTGGAGCTACAATGTTATATTCAGGAAGATGAATGCACAAAAGAGGTGTATAAATTATGCTGGATAACATCACAGTGAAGACCCTCTGGTTTGTGAGCCAGTGAACAACAGATTAATAAAAGCTAGACTATAAATAAAACATAGCAAATGTACAATAATCGAAGTATGCACCAACAAACACAGCAGGTGGCAGCGAAAAGTACCCATTCTATGAGCAGGTGTGTGGTGGGCTGTATAGACCCCACACCAGGGGCGGGCAAACTTTTTGGCCTGAGGGCCTCATTGGGTTTCTGAAATTGTACAGAGGGCCAGTTAAGGGAGGCTGTGCCTCCCCAAACAGCCAGGTATGGCCCGGCCCCCGCCCCCTATCCTATGCTTCTTGCCCCCTGACGGCCCTCCCAGGACTCCTGCCCCATCCAACTCACCCAGTTCCTTGATGGCCCCCCAGGGACCCCTGCTCCCTGACGGCCCCCCTGCTCTCTATCCCCTTAACGCCCCCAGACCTCCAACCCCTAACTGCCCCCCACCGCCCCATCCAATCCCCCCTCCTTCCTGACTGCCCCCCAGGGACCCCTGCCCCATCCAACCACCCCTTCTCCCTGACAGCCCCCAGATCCTCCCCTCTCCCCCCCCCCATCCAACCCCCCTCCTTCCTGCTCCCCCCCAGAACTTCCCTCCCCATCCAACCACCCCTTCTCCCTGATCGCCCCCCCACCCCCCCGCCCCTAATTGCCCTCTACCACTCCATCCAACCCCCACTCTCCTTCCTGACTCCCCCCCCCCCGGACTCCTGCTCCATCCCCCACCCCTGCTCCCTGTCCCCTGACCACCCCCGGAAGCCCAGCCCCTGACTGCCCCCTGCCACCCCATCCAACCCCTCCTCTCCTTCCTGACTGCCCCCTGGAACCCCTGCCCTCATTCAACCCCCCTGTTCCCTGCTCTCTGACTGCACCGACCCCTATCCACATCCCTGACCACCTCTCTGACCACCCCCCGAACTCTCCTGCCCTCTATCCAACCCCCCTGCTCCCTGCCCCCTTACCGCGTTGCCCGGAGCACCGCTGGCTGGTGGCACAGCTGCACCAGGACAGGCAGCCACACCATGCAGCACAAAGCACTGGGTCAGGCCGGGCTCTGCAGCTGCGCTGCCCCAGGAGCTCGCAGCCCCGTCGCCCAGAGCATTGCACCGGTGGCTGCGGGGGAGGGGAACAGTGGGGGAGGGGCCGGGGACGAGCCTCCCATGCCAGGAGCTCAGGGGCCAGGCAGGACGGTCCCGTAGGCCGGATGTGGCCTGCGGGCCATAGTTTGCCCACCTCTGCCCCACACTGATAAGGAAGGCACACCCTATGTGCAGGATTAACCCCCCCCCCCCCCTCGCCACCCCTGTCAATCCTGAATGATAAGGAGGAGGCCAATAAAAAGGAGGAAACTGCAAGCAGCTGTGGGGGTAAGATCATCCTGAACAGAAAACTGCTGGAGCAACTCCTGAAGACACAAGGGGAACTCCCATCCAGGAGATATCCATCCCCAGTTCTAGGGGGAGTACAGTGAACTCTCAGGGTAAGCCTGACAGAGTGATCCTGATTTCAGTAGCCCAGCCAGACGGACTTGTCAAAAACTGCTAAGCAGACTGTCCTGCAATAAGATGGTATTGTCTGCCTTTTTCCCTGTGAGTTGGGTCAGTGAAGAAGATATTCTCGGGTGTACTGCTGAGACATTTAATTTTCATTTTGATCCCCCATCAGAAGAAATTTAAGAAAGCCCACAAAGGGTAGGGTCCCCCTTTGCAAGGATTAGGAAACTGGAACCTGTGTATAAGCCACGTAGCATAGATAACTGGGCATCACCAGGGTCTCCCACCATCTGCAAGCTGCACCAAGTATCGGATGACATGCCTATTCATGACATCAAGCTAATGATAGGCAACTTCAGTGCACAAATCAGCAACACCTGTTCTGGATGGAAAGAAGTAATGGGCACAGCAGTGGCAGGCATCCAAACTGATAATGGTGAATGGCTCTTGAATCTCTGTGGCACAAAAACCATAAAAATCTCTTCCAGCAGAAGAGGATTCAAAAGCTCACACTCAGATCATCAGAGAATGCAACTATCAAACAGACAGACCATGTGTGTATATCTAAGAGATGGGCAACTTCCTGGAGGGATGTCAAAGTCAGCAGAGAAGCAGATGTTGGCTCAGATCATTATCTTTGAATGGCCACATTACAACTTAGACTCAAAAACCCCACAAAAATGGAAACAAGAATGTTATAGCAATAAAGAAGTTCCAGGACAAAAAAACAAAGATCAATTTCCAGATTGCACTTAACTGTTCTACTGTTTTACAGGACCAGACTGATGAAAGTCTGGAAGACACATGGCCAAACTGGAAGAAGATGGTAGTTGAGACAACAGAGAAAGTAGCAGGCCAGCGAAGGGGGCAGAAGAAAGATGCCTGGATTACATCTGGAACATGGGAAGCAACTGATGAGCTAAAAGCTCTGAAGGCCAAAAAGGAACAGTGCAAGACACAGGCAGAACTCTTAGAGGTGGATGCAAGATACAGAGAAAAGGATAAAAAAAAAATTAAAAAATTAAAGAACAGATGCAGATAAGATAGAATTGCCTGGGTTCAGGAGAAGACTATAAGGCAGCAATAACAGCACAGAGGGGAGATTTCAAGTAGCTCTATAGAATAGTGAAAGACATCTCAGGAAGAGCCAGACAGACACAGCTCTGAAAGATAGGAGACAAGCTAACCAAGAGTACCCAAGGGAGGAAAGAGAAAGCAAGGAAGACCAAGGAAGAACTGGCAGAAGACAGTGACAGAGGATACTGAATGCGCTGGCATCACTTGAGGAGAAGAACCACAGCTAGTGAGTGACTGTAATGAATGGAGGAACTGGACAGCCCGATGTGTCATAGGCCCAGGAGGAACTAAGGTAAGGTTTGTTTAAAACTTAAGAAATTAACATTCTTTTACCATAGTTGTGTCAAAAGTTGCAAACTTAAGCACTTAAAAGTTAGGAAATGCCAGTATTAAGATTGCTTATGAATTGCTTACGGATGCATGTGCATTATAATACAGCCTTTAATTACTGATCATACACTACTTTTTTTTCCCACAGGACACCAAAAACAATGAGGAACACACAATTAGTGACTACCTTTGAAAAGTTTGCTTTAAGTGACCTGCCTGGCATCACATAGGAGCTCTGTGGCGGAGGCAGGGAGAGAATCAAATTATCCAGGGTTCCGTTCAACTGCCTTAACCATGAGACCATCCTTTCTCTTCCTGCAGTCCCCTGCCTTATTCACTACAAGCCTTCCAACTTCTAAAACAAATGAGTCAGTGGTCCTACAGACCTTCATTCACTACGTAACCTTGATTTCTACTCAAAGCACTGTCCACAATGCACTGGATGGGAGCAGAGGTCCTGCAGAAAAAAATAGACAGTGATCATGTAATTAAAGATTGCATACCCATCAGTGACCTGAGTTAGGACTGCCTATACAATCTTAACTTTTGAGTGCTTGGTTTTGCAACATTAAAATTTTAACAAAAAGATTTTCTTTTCTTTTTTATTTGACTCTAAGTGTGTTCAGAATTAGGAGGCTGCAAGGAAGGTACATCCCTTTGGGATTTGCCACAATAAGGCAAATCCTTAATTCCTTGAGCTGTGTCAGCTGCTTTGACAATGTGTTTTGAAGGTGGCCTTAAAAGTATTTTTAAACTTAGAAGGCCTATACCAGGCTTTTTTTTTCCTTCAGGGAGGGGATGGCTTCATTACAAAGTGAGGTGATGTAGTGCACATCACAGTAGTCTTTCTAGGTTTTAACATCTCTTGAGTTCGGGGCAATCAAAGGAAGAAGGCTGTAATTCTGGACTGCAAATCTGAGGAGAAAACTTGTTAAGATTTCTATAGAAAATGGTGGTAACCAGGTTATCAAAATATTAGGGCTGTTGATTAATCGCAGTTAACTCACACGATTAACTCAAAAATTTAATCACGATTAACTGCACTGTTAAACAACAGAATACCAATTGAAATTTATTAAATATTTTTAAATATATTGATTTGTATTACAACACAGAATACAAGGTGTATAGTTCTCACTTTATATTATCTTTTATCATTTTTTTACAGTGCAAATATTTGTAATAAAAGAAATAGTATTTTTCAATTCACCTCATACAAGTACTGTAGTGCAATCTCCTTATCGTGAAAGTGTAACTTACAAACGCAGGTTTTTTTGTTACATAACTTCACTCAAAAACAAAACAATGTAAAACTTTAGAGCCTACAAGTCCACTCAGTCCTACTTCTTGTTCAGCCAGTTGCTAAGACAAACAAGCTTGTTTACATTTACAGGAGATACTGTTGCCGGCTTTTTATTAACAATCTCACATGAAAGTGAGAACAGCCATTCGCATGGCACTTTTGTAGTCAGCGTTGCAAGATATTTATGTGCCAGCTATGCTAAACGTTCATATGCCCCTTCATGCTTCTGCCACCATTCCAGAGGACATGCTTCCATGCCGATGATGCTCATTAAAAAAATGATGTGTCAATTAAATGTGTGACTGAACTCCTTGGGGGAGAATTGTATGACTCCTGTTCTGTTTTACCCGCATTCTGCCATATATTTCATGTTATAGCAGTCTCAGATGATGACTCAGCATGTTCTTTTTTAGAACACTTTATCAGCAGATTTGACAAAATGCAAAGAAGGTATCAATGTGAGATTTCTAAAAATAGCTACAGGACTCAACCCAAGGTTTAAGAATATGAAAGTCTGAGAGGGACAAGTTGTGGAGCATGCTTTCAGGTAATAAGGTCCCCTGGGGATGGATCTGGGTGCTATTTTGTCAAGTTATGTGGGGAGTGTCTAACCTGACATTCCTGATGGTATTGGTGCTTTACCAGCGACTCCAAAACAGACTGGGTAAATTAAAATTGGTATATTTGACCTGGCGGGTTAGGGAACCCCTAAGGTCAAGAGGAGGGACTGAAGGGTTAAAATCCATTGCTGATGTAATAACCTGGCATATGGATTTGTGTACAGGCCCAAAGTCCAGAGTTTGGTCAAGAGGTCAGAGGCCTAGCAAATAGCGATTAGTTAAGAGAAAGTAGAATAACCAAAGATAACTTTGCTTTTGCTAAGATATGCCTGGTCAGCAAAACGCCAGATGTTGGGGGCAATAATTGTGCCTTATTCAAAGTTGCAAATAGAACAAAGCCCTGTTTCTGTTGTGTTAGTTTCTTCTGTAGGAAGATGTTCTTCCCACACATCCAACCTTGAGTTTATGAAAGGTTCAAGCATTTCAGTATAAGATATGGCCTCCTCCCATCTCCCTTTCCCAGGGACCAATGCCTGCCTTAAAACACAAATGAATAACTTGAAAGACAAACTTTATTGCCATATACTTTCACTGTTTCTTTGCTTTTACCCTTGGATATGTATCCATTGGACAATCAAAGAAGCTACTTCATTCCTACGGACTCCAAATCAGAATTCAATATATATATTTTATATTAATACATTTATTAAAGTACTAATTAAATGTTAAATGTTAATTTGTCAATTTAAGACCATGGGCAGACCATTATGTAACCTTTGACCATTGGTTACTGTGCTATTATGTCTTGTTGCTAGACCTATCTGGGGGTGTGGGACTGCCTACCCTGTCACTTTCCCCTGCCCATGGAAAATCCATTTATTCCATTGTAATCAATTGATTGACAGTGTCTCTGAGCCTAATAAGCAAGGTGACACTCCGTCAGTGCTGTTAAGTAATAAACTCCTGTGCTTGACTTCTACACGGTGTGGATTTATGTCCTTCAGCATCTGACTCAGATGATGAAAATTACCATGCATTGGTCCACTCTGCTTTGGATAGTTATCGAGCAGAACCCGACATCAGCATGGACGCATGTCCTCTGCAACGGTGGTTGAAGCATGAAGGGACATATGAATCTTCATTTGCAGCTGCCACGTAAATATCTTGTGACGCAGCTACAATAGTGCCATGAGAACACCTGTTCTCTCTGTCAGGTGACATTGTAAACAAGAAGCGGGCAGCATTATCTCCTGCAAATTGTAACCAGACTTGTTTGTCTGAGCAATTGGCTGAAAAAGAATTAGGACTGAGTGGACTTGTAGGCTCTAAAGTTTTACATTGTTTTGTTTTTTAATGCAGTTTATATTTTGTACATAATTCGACATTTGTAAGTTCAACTTTCCCGATAAAGAGACTGTACTACAGTACTTGTATTAGGTGAACTGAAAAATACTATTTCTTTTGTTTTTTACACTGCAAATATTTGCAACCAAAATAAATATAAAGTGAGACTGTACATTTTGCATTCTGTGTTGTAATAGAAATCAATTTATTTGAAAATGTAGGAAACATCAAAAAATTTAAATAAACTGTATCATGTTATTGTTTAACAGCACGATTAATTGCATGACTAATTTTTTTAATCGCTTGACAGCCCTAAAAAATATCCTGAAATATTTTGTTATTTCTAATAAACGTTAACACAATCCACGATTATTATGTCATTTCATAACCTTTTGGGAATGCTTTCCAGAAGGTGTTAGAGCCAATCAGTGCAGTTTTCCTTTAAAGGAAGGGTGTTTGACAGAATGAATGGCTTCAGAAATATGATTACAAATACACTGTTTATAGTTTAATGCTATGAGATGCATGATGTGAATATTTATACCTATGTGGTCAAAAGACAAACTTTTGTCAAATTTTTACCCTGGTTTAATTTTAAACGCATGGCCTGTAGCCAGGGCTGGTGCAACCACTAGGCGAACTAGACGATTGCCTAGGGTGCCAAATGGTTAGGGGTGCCAAAAAGCGGTGCCCTGGCTCGGCAGGGAGGAGCTGCCTTCCGGAAGCACTGGAGAGCCAGAGCGTCGGCTTGTGGGGGCTGCGAGCCCCAGCCATGGAGGAGCCGGCGCGGCGCAGGGGGCAGCAGCCCTGCAAACGCGGTGGCGCCACTAGCGGGTAGTAGCCGCGTCCCCCACCCCTCCTGCCCAGGCTGCGGCCCAGCACCCCCTCTTCCTCGGGCGCACCTGCAGGCTACAGCAGATGCTTACGGGCGGTGGCCCCCGGGCATCCCCCGTCACCATACTTGAGCTCTGCGGCTCCCGGGAGTGTGAGCCACTCTCCCTCCCACTGCCTCAGCACTCTGTGGGGGAGGGGCTGTGCGCGCGGCAGCGTGTTCTGCCTCCACGTGGAGCCAGTGTCTGACCGGCATGGGCATGGTAAGGGGAGTCCCAGCCGGGGGGCAGTCAGGGAGCAGGGGGAAGGTTGGATGAGTCGGGAGTTCGGGGGGTGGGGGAAGGGAGACTCGGAGCAGACAGGGGACAGGGAGTAGGGGGGGTTAGATGGGTCGGGAGTTCTGGGGGCATGTCAGGGGGAGGGAAGTGGTTGGATGTGGCATGGGAGTTCCAGGGGTCTGTCTGGGTACGGGGCTGTGGATAAGGGTTGGGGCAGTCAGGGGACAGGTAGGGGGTAGAGTCCTAGGGGGGCAGTTAGGGTGGGCGGGGGTATCAGGAGGGGGCAGTCAGGGGACAAGGAGCAGTGGAGGGGTGTTGGGGGTTCTGAGGGGGGTAGTCAGGGGGTAGGAAGTGGGAGGGAGTGGATGGGGGTGGGGCTAGGGCAGGGCTCTCCACCCCGTCCTCTTTTTTGGTTGTTGAAATATGGTAACCCTAGGTGAGAGGGGAACCGGGGGCGCATGGGGGCTGGTGCCCCCATGCACCTGCTGCAGCCTGCAGGAGCCCCCCCAGAGGAGTGGGGTGCCGGGCCGCAGCCTGGGCAGGAGGAGCGGCGGGGCAGCTGCGCCACCGCCTTTGCAGGGCTGCTGCACCCCCGTGCCGCGCCCAGTGATGAACTGCCAAAATCTTAACAATCGGTTCCCTCCTCACCCCACGATGGGGTCGTTGCCCACCCCTGCCTCCCGGAACCCCTACCCCATCCACCCCCCTGACTGCCCCCAGAACCGGGCAGGAGGGTCTTGTGGGCCACCAAAGCGGATGCCCACCCCACCCCTAAGAGCCAGAGGGACCTGCCGGTGGGCGAGGTAGGGAGTTCCGGCGGTGCTTACCTGGGGCAGCTCCCAGGAAGCATCCGGCAGGTCCCTCTGGCTCCTAAGGGCAGGGTAGCCTAGCTGGGGGGAAGCAGGGGGAGCGGCCACTCCCCCCACTGATCACATCAAAAGTGGCGCCTTAGGCGCCGACTCCGTGGGTGCTCTGGGGCTGGAGCACCCTTGGGGAAACTTTGGTGGGTGCAGAGCACCCACCGGCAGCTCCCCACCCCACACCCGGCCCCAGCTAACCTCACCTCACCTCCGCTCCACCGCCTCCCCTGAACGCGCCGCCCCACTCCGTTTCTCCCCCCCCCGCCCCCGGCTTCCTGTGAATCGGCTGTTCGGCAGCAAGCCTGGGAGGGCTGAGAAGCAAGTGGCGGCTTCACGCTCAGAGCCAGGGTGGCGGAGGTGAGCTGGGCCGGGAGCAGTTCCCTGAGCGCCCCCCCAGGTTACCCGCTGCGGCGTGGGCGGCCCTCCTCATGTCCGTTCCCCCCCGCCCCAGCTCACCTCTGCCTCCCTGGGCCTGAGTGCGAAACCGCCACTTGCTTCTCAGCCCGCCCCAGCTTCCCATGCGAACAGCTAATTCGCAGAAAGCCTAGGGAGGGGCGGAGAAGCAGAACAGGGCGGTGCATTCAGGGGAGGAGGTGGAGCGGAGGTAAGATGAGGCTGGGGGGGGGCTGCCAGTGGGTGCTCTGCACCCACCAAATTTTCCCCTTGGGTGCTCCAGCCCTGGAGCACCCATGGAGTTGGCGCCTAAGGCGCCACTTTTCGCCGGTTGTTAAATTTAGAAGCCCTCCCTCACAGAACAAGCAGTTCTAAAAAGGGCTTCTAAATTTAACAACTGGTTGCAGCCAACCGGCTCCAGCTCACCACTGGCTGCGCCGGCTCCTCCATGGCTAGGGCTCGCCACCACCACAAGCGGGATGCTCTGGCTCTCCAGTGCCTCTGGAAGGCGGCTCCTCCCTGCCGAGCTGCTGCAGCGGCCCAAGCCCGGCAAAGCCAGTGAGTGGACTCGGGGCTGGGGCCGCCGGGGTGGGGAGGGGAGGGCTCGTGGGGGGGCTGTGCAGGGGGGGCTGTGCAGGGGGGTTCAGCGGGTGGAGAGGGAGAAACCTGGTATGGGGAGCAGCCCCTGGGCATGGCTGGCCCCTAGGGTCTGTAAAGGCTTGTTGGGATTTGCCCCAAAATGAACCAATGTGCGGTGGTGGGAGGGGGGGGCACGAAGGTGGAAGTTTCGCCTAGGGCGCAAAATATCCTTGCACCGGCCCTGCCTTTAGCTTAGATTCCCTACACTCTCCTCCCAGCTTCCTCAATGACCCAGTTCAGTCGCTCTCCCAGCTGGCAGGGGTGAGACATGTCCAGATGGGCCCCCCTCCCTGCACATTATTATTCCGGTGCGTGCATTCCTCCAGCAGCCAGTGCTGTCGTAGGGGAGCCCTGGCCTCTTCCACGCATTAGTGAAAACCTCACCCTGCTTCCACTGGGCAGCCCCAGCTCTCCCCGTGGGCGCCTCGCGAGCCGGGCAGCTCCGCTCAGTCCACTGCACAGCGCTGTGGGGAGGGGAGTCGGCGGGGCTCGCGCAGTGTCCCACAGCGACGTGCCTGCCACACGGTCACGCGAAGGCCGGTCACGCGTGGATAGGACAAGTCAAACGAATCCCCCTCATCCTCCCTGAGTCCCCTCCCGCCTCCCCTGGAGGCGCCGGCGCCCCGCGTGAGGGGGGACCCCCGGGGGAGAAGACTGAGGTGTGGAAGGGGTTGCAGGCTGGCCAGCCGCCCCTTACACTCCACCCCTAGCAGCCAGGGGCCAACCTGCCTCCGCAGCCGCCTGAACTCACCAGCGACAGCCCGTCAGCCACGTGGCCGCCTCCCACAGGGCGCAGGTGACCGCCTCAGATCACCTGACCGTACAAGAGGCTCCAGGCGGCCATGGTGGATTCGGGCAAAGCACCCACAGCAGGCATACGAGCCCCTGGACGCGCAGCTTCTAACAGAAATGGGCGCCAGGTACGAGGTCGCTGCCTGGCTCCCGGCTGCCCGGACTCAAAATGGCCGCTGAGCGTGCAGCCGGCCCCGCCCCTTGCTCTTTCTCCTGCGGCTTCCTGCCCATCTCCGCCCCGGGCCTACACGTCCGTTCTCATTGGCCCCGAGCGTGGCGAGCTCTGATTGGGCCACGTTCCCACGGGCTCGCTGTCTGCTCCAATGGGCGCCGGCAGTTGGAGTATGCGTGGGGCTGACGCGGAAATCCGAATGGGGGCAGCGGCTGGGCCCGGCCGGCCGGCGTGGCTCGGCTCGGTTCGCGGCTTGTGAGGGTGGCTCGTGGGGCGCCGCTGGTGGCCGGCTCCTGAGCGAGGGGCGGCTGTGGCCTGCTTCCCCCTGCCCCCGCGCCATGAAACCCGGCCCGCGTCGCGGCTGTGCGCCGGTGGCCGCGGCGCTGGTGCTGTGCGCCGCCCTGCTGCCGCCCCCCGCCCGGGGCGCCGGGCCGCGGCCCCGCCAGGCCTGCGCCACCTGCCGGGGCATCGCGGACCGCTTCAACCAGGTGGGCGCGGCCGGGGGAGCCGCGCGTCACAGGGACGCGGGGGCCCACGGAGATGGAACCCAGGCGTCCGGGGCCCCGAGAGCGGGGCAGGCGCCCAGCCTGGTGTGCCCTCCTAGAGCGGAGCCTCGCTCCAGGGGTCCGGGGCTGCTGGCGAGGCAGGGGCGGTCCGTGCCTCACGCTGTGCTGCGGCGAGAGGCTCCCTTCGCATCTCTTCTTGGGGCTGCTGAGCTAATGGGGTTTGAGACTTCAGCACATCGGGCAGTGAGTGGTTCATTCTCCGCCCGGTGTGATGCGCCGGCTGCGGGAGCGACTCTGCTCCGGCTCTTTGTTGTCACCTTGGCTCTTCTGTTCTATGGATGCGTGTGTGTGTGTGTGTGTGTGTGAGACGCTACATGTGGGAACGTTCATCCGAGTGTTGGGGTAAAATTCCGGCCCCATTGAACTCCATGGCAAAACTTCCAGTGACTTCAGTGAGGCTGGGACTTCACTCACGTTCCCATAGGGCAGCCAGGAAACCAATCTTAATAAGGTTTCAGAGGAACAGCCGTGTTTCAAAAAAAAGGGTTGGCCCTGGGGACTAACCATTTTAGCAGGCTTCGTGAACTCACTTCATCAGATGTATATCTTAATAAAGACTATTCCAGAACCTTATTATGCAAATGACAATCTAGGCACCAGGTACTATTGTAACTTTTTTTTTTTTTTCATCTCTCTTCTAACCCCCCTCTCTTCCCCCATTGCCTTTCGTCCCATTGTTTCATGTAACATTTGATGGTAAGCTTCAAAATCTTGTTTGTTAGGCACCTATCACAACTTTGCATGTTGTGAAAGTTATAAATATTACTTTTTCCCCCTATTACACTTAAAATGTGATTACCTTTTCAATAGTAAAGGTCTACACGGATAATTATTTCAATAAAACTTATTTTTAAAAAGTATTTTGTTTTCTGTAGGGATTGGCGGATACAGCAAAAAAGAATTTTGGTGGTGGGAACACTGCTTGGGAAGAGAAAACACTATCCAAGTATGAATCCAGGTACAGTATATCTATGAACTTTTACTTCATGACCAAGCCATGTTTCTCATTTGCCATAATGTTATAGCAGTCTGTACAAAAGCATAAATATTGAACATATTTTTTGTAGAATAATAAAATAAAGCTATGTGTTTTTAATGATTTCTGATCAAATACAACCAATTTGATATTTCCAGGGATATTAGCAGTTTTTGGTGAAGACTACAGTCCAGTGTTTTAACCCTCTATCTGATTTTTACCAACAACACCAAAAACTAGGCTCCATTATCTCACGCTGTTGAAAATCTTGTGAGGTTATTTAGCCATTTATTGAGTGGTTTGTTTGTTTTTTTTTCTCAGAGCTATCATAGGCTTGATTTTAATCCCAAGATGCGGTCATATTTGTTGCATTAGAGTTTGTTAAATAATCGGTCCCTAAATGCCTGCACTATTGTAGAATGTGGTGGTGTTTTAGCAGTGTTGGTCCCTGGATATTGGAGAGATAAAGAGGGTGAGGTAATACCCTTTATTGGACCAACTTTGACAGACAGTAATCCAAAGGTCCAGACTTTCTCCCTGTTTCAGTGCTAGAACAGTTTATGCTTCACCTTCCCATTTCTTGCATATGCAGGATTAAAAAAAACCTGCCAGTTTGAATTGCATTCTTCTCCCAATCTGCAAATTCAGTATTGAATTTTGGTCTCTGAGTAATAAGATGCTAGCATGAAACTTCTAGATTTGAGTAACTACCAAAGCTGTGGATTTATATTGCTTGCCTGCATCTGATTTTACTGATAAATATAAGTATCTGATAATTATTTAAAAATATTGTGGTTGAAAATTATTTCTTTTTTGCCTTTGCAACCCACTATCATCTATAAATATAACTGGTAAAATTAAAGTGGTTCTTGTGATTTTGTTCTTCACTGGTGCTGGCTGCTTAGTTGATGATGCAATATTAGCTAACTCTTAATGCTTCTGCAAAAGTTGTTTTGTTTTGTTGCTATGTTTGGGAAGTGGCCCAAATCACACCACAAAGTGATCATGTAATAAAAGTTAAGAGGTTGGAGTCTAGATACTCAGTGATCGCATACCATTCTTAAATTAATTTTAAACTTGTAACTTTTTTCCCTTCTAGCGAAATCCGTCTTGTAGAGATCATAGAGAACCTGTGTGACAGCAGTAACTTTGAATGCAACAACATGGTAGAAGAGCATGAAGAACATATAGAGAACTGGTGGTTCAAACTGTAGGTAACAAAATCTCTAATGAGGTCTTTATTTGTGGATAAATATCTAAGAGGACAGTCCATCTTTACTAAATCCTGTGTCTGATCAATAAGAACAGCTCAGCCTCACTTTTTTTCCCCTTCCACGCTACAATAACTCAGTAAGAAGCTACTATTTCTTTCTCTGTGTGGTTTCAGAGTAACAGCCGTGTTAGTCTGTATTCGCAAAAAGAAAAGGAGTACTTGTGGCACCTTAGAAACTAACCAATTTATTTGAGCATAAGCTTTCGTGAGCTATAGCTCACTTCATCGGATGCATAATGTGACATTATATACACAGAGACCATGAAACAATACCTCCTCCCACCCCACTCTCCTGCTGGTAATAGCTTATCTAAAGTGATCACTCTCCTTACAATGTGTATGATGATCAAGGTGGGCCATTTCCAGCACAAATCCAGGGTTTAACAAGAACGTCTTGCGGGGGGGGGTAGGAAAAAACAAGGGGAAATAGGCTACCTTGCATAATGACTTAGCCACTCCCAGTCTCTATTTAAGCCTAAATTAATAGTATCCAATTTGCAAATGAATTCCAATTCAGCAGTTTCTCGCTGGAGTCTGGATTTGAAGTTTTTTTGTTGTAATATCGCGACCTTCATGTCTGTAATTGCGTGACCAGAGAGATTGAAGTGTTCTCCGACTGGTTTATGAATGTTATAATTCTTGACATCTGATTTGTGTCCATTTATTCTTTTACGTAGAGACTGTCCAGTTTGACCAATGTACATGGCAGAGGGGCATTGCTGGCACATGATGGCATATATCACATTGGTGGATCTGCAGGTGAACGAGCCTCTGATAGTGTGGCTGATGTTATTGGGCCCTGTGGTGGTGTCCCCTGAATAGATATGCGGGCACAGTTGGCAACGGGCTTTGTTGCAAGGATAGGTTCCTGGGTTAGTGGTTCTGTTGTGTGGTATGTGGTTGTTGGTGAGTATTTGCTTCAGGTTGGGGGGCTGTCTGTAGGCAAGGACTGGCCTGTCTCCCAAGATTTGTGAGAGTGTTGGGTCGTCCTTCAGGATAGGTTGTAGATCCTTAATAATGCGTTGGAGGGGTTTTAGTTGGGGGCTGAAGGTGACGGCTAGTGGCGTTCTGTTATTTTCTTTGTTAGGCCTGTCCTGTAGTAGGTGACTTCTGGGAACTCTTCTGGCTCTATCAATCTGTTCCTTCACTTCCGCAGGTGGGTATTGTAGTGGTAAGAATGCTTGATAGAGATCTTGTAGGTGTTTGTCTCTGTCTGAGGGGTTGGAGCAAATGCGGTTGTATTGCAGAGCTTGGCTGTAGACGATGGATCGTGTGGTGTGGTCAGGGTGCAATCTGGAGGCATGTAGGTAGGAATAGCGGTCAGTAGGTTTCCGGTATAGGGTGGTGTTTGTGTGACCAATGTTTCCTAGCACTGTAGTGTCCAGGAAGTGGATCTCTTGTGTGGACTGGACCAGGCTGAGGTTGATGGTGGGATGGAAATTGTTGAAATCATGGTGGAATTCCTCAAAGGCTTCTTTTCCATGGGTCCAGATGATGAAGATGTCATCAATATAGTGCAAGTAGAGTAGGGGCGTTATGGGACGAGAGCTGAGGAAGCGTTGTTCTAAATCAGCCATAAAAATGTTGGCATACTGTGGGGCCATGCGGGTACCCATAGCAGTGCCGCTGATTTGAAGGTATATATTGTCCCCAAATGTAAAATAGTTATGGGTAAGGACAAAGTCACAAAGTTCAGCCACCAGGTTAGCCGTGACATTATCGGGCATAGTGTTCTTTGTCCTTACCCATATCTATTCAGGGGACACCATCAAAGGATTCTAATAACATCAGCCACACTATCAGAGGCTCGTTCACCTGCAGATCCACCAATGTGATATGTGCCAGCAATGCCCCTCTGCCATGTACATTGGTCAAACTGGGCAGTCTCTACGTAAAAGAATAAATGGACACAAATCAGATGTCAAGAATTATAA